GACCAAGCCAGACTGGATGGGGCGGTGCGTGCCCTCCACCGAATTGCCAGCGACTCGGCTGCCGTCGCACCCACAGCCCAGGTCAGGCAGCCGCTGGCCAGAGAAAGGCACGGACACACGGCGGGCGCAGCAGCACCAGGTACGCCGTCCACCTCGAGATGTTCCGCCAGGTCGACCCACTCCGAATCGAGGAGTACGGTCAATCTTATCAGTAGCAGCAGTAGCATCAGTAGCATCATCATCAGCACCATCAGCACCCGCAGAAGAATAATGGCCTCAATCACCAAGAAAAACAACAACAACAACAACAACAACAACAACAACAACAACAACAACAACAACAACCACCACCACCACCACCACCACCACCACAACAACAACAACAACAGCAACAACCACAACAACAACGACGACGACAACAACAACACCAAACCAACAACAACAACAACAACAACAACAACAACAACAACAACAACAACAACAACAACAACAACAACAACAACAACTACTACTACTACTACTACTACTACTACTACTACTACTACTACTACTACTACTACTACTACTACTACTACTACTACTACTACAACTACAACTACAACTACAACAACATCAGCATGATCATCAGCATCATCATCATCGTCATCATCCATATGACCATCATCCTCATCATCATCACCATCGTCATCATCACAAGTATCAGTATCATCATCATCATCATCAGCATCAGCATCATCAGCAGCATCATCACCATTTTAATCATGCCCATCATAGTCATCATCAGCATCAGCATCATCAGTTTCCTCATCATCGTCATCAGCATCATCAGCAACAACATCATCACAATCATCATGACCATCATAATGGTCATCATCCTCATCTATCATCGTCATCAGCATCAACATCATCATCGTCGTCGTCAGCAGCAGAAGCATCATCGTCATCGTCGTCACCCTCATCGACGTCGTCCTCCTCCTCATCAACACCAACATCACCATCACCTCAACATCGTAACCCTCGTCATCAGCACCTTCTCCGTCTTCTCCGTCATCGACAGCAGCATCCTCGTCGTCAGCAGGATCAGCATCGTCATCTTCAGATTCATCATCAGCGTCATCAGCATCGTCATCATCAGCGACGTATCGTCAACAACAGCATCATCAGGATCCGCCTTGCCGTCATCGTCGTCAAAGTCATCAGCATCAGCATCAAGACCATCAGCAACAGTAGCATGATCATCAACATTTTGACAATCATCGTCGTCAGCAACATAGTCGTCGTCGGCATCGCCGTCGTCGTCAACCGCGTCATCATCATGATAATCATCAGCATTGTCATCGGCCTCGCTATCAACACCATCTGCAGCATCGTCACCGACATCCGCATCGGAAGCATCCTCGTCGTCTGCCGCAGCATCATCATCTCCATCCGCATCACCCTTAGCACCAACAGCATCATAGTCACCAGTAGCAACATCGTTATCCTCATCATTACTAGCATCAGCTCCAGCATCCGCATCCGCATTATCCTCATCAACAGCATCGACAGGAGCAGCATCATCGGAATCAACATCATCAGCAGCGTTGCCAGCACCAACGTCAGTATCATCAACCCATCAATATCAACATCATCAGCAGCCGCAGCATCATCAGTATCAGCATCCACATCAGCATCATCACCATCATCAGCATCATCATCATCAGCAGCAGCATCATTCATCAGCATCGTCGTCGTTATCATTATCAGCATCATCGTCAGCAGCATCATTATTAGCATCAGCATCAGCAGCATCACCATCATCATCATCATCATCAGCAGCATCATCATCATTAGCATCAGCATCATCAGCATCAGCCGCATCATCAGTATCAGCATCTGCACACGCCTCACCATCATAGCCATCATAATCAACAGCCCCATCATCAGCATCATCAGCTTGATCAGCATCAGCAACAGCATCAGCAATATCATCAGCATCATTGACAGCATCATCACCATCATCATCAGCAGCATCATCAGCACCATCAGCATCGGCATCATCATCGTCATCATCGTCATCATCATCATCATCATCATCAGCATCATCATCATCATCATCGTCATCATCATCATCGTCATCAGCATCATCATCAGCATAATCATCAGCCGCAGCGTCCTCATCGACATCCTCATCGCCAGCCTCGTCATGCCAAACAACATCAGCATCATCATCATCCACAACACCATCAGCAGCAGCAGCGACAGCAGTCTCAGCATCGTCATCCACGTCATCCAGCAACCTTCTCCTCCTCCTCCTCCTCCTCCTCCTCCTCCTCCTCCGCCTCTTCTTATCGTCGTCCTCCTTCTCCTCCTCCTCAGGCCCTCCGACTGCCTGGCGAAGCGGCGCTGGCTGGGGAGAGCCTCCCGTGTGCCTGCTGCTCCTGCAGCTCGCACCTCAGCTGCTCCAGCTCCAGCCTCGCCCCCTGCGCCTGGAGAGAGAGAGAGAGAGAGACAAAATAAGGGGGGGGGAGGAGCGGAGGGTTGGGCGGGGAGTGACACAGAGGAGAGGGAGGAAAGATGAGGCAAAAATCCATGAGGTTGCTGCTTCTAGCCTGGTCCTGCCCATCGGCCAGGCAGGCCTCTGCCTCTGTGCGGCCGAGACGCGCGCGCGCGCGCACGGGCGCCGCGAACGCGGGTTCGGCCGCTCCCTGGCGCTGCGGCCCCTGGAATGGGCCCCAATGCTTGGCAAAGAAAAAAGGAAAGGATAGGGGGGCAGGGCGGGCCAGGAACGCACTGCCAGAATATGTCCGCATCCACTGCCGCGGGGCCGTGTCCCGGAAGCTCGGAGAGCTGTGAGTAGGGATGCCTGCCCGCCCGTGCCGGGGGGGCAGGTATCCATCTCCACCTCTCCTGGAGATCCTAGGGCACGACTCAAAATCAGTGACGAGGGAGGAGGGAGAAGGGAGGAATGAGACTGAGAATGGGAACGATCTGTTTTTCTCTCTCTCTGTCTCATAACCAGATGGGTTTCTCTCTGTCTCTCTCTCCGTCTCTCTCCCTCTCTCTCCAACGGCGATGGTAACGACATGGGAGAGCACCATGGCCAAGCACTGCCGCGCCTGCCAGAGAGCTGCACTCCCATGAACGACGCTCAGCATGAAAAGATAATGCAGTCAGGAAGGAGGGAGGAGGAAGAGGGGGTTGGGGGGGAGAAGGCGTAGGAGATGCATGAGAAGGAGCCGGAGGAGGGCACGGTGGGCGGCTGAGCTGGGTCTGTGGAGGGGTGAGGTTAGAGCAGCGGGCAGGTTGGAGCAGATTTCTCGAGAGATGAGCTGTGCTGCTCAAGCGCGCTGGCCCGCTGTCCTGCCCACTGGCATTCCCAGCGGGTAGGACACCAGCGGGCAAGACCTAAAGGAGCAGCAAATCAAAATCTGCCGACCCCCAAGGCGTGTGCGACCTCGGCTGGCACTGAAACCGACCCAGACTCTTCCTTCCCCGCCCCCATTACGCCTGACATACCCATATTCTGGCCTTTCTGTTCTTGGGAACCCCCACTCGACCCCTCAACAATCCCTCGCCCGAGACATACCCCACCGCTCACCAGGACCGATCCCGCACCTCACTGCCCGCTCTGTCAAACGGATCCCCTACCCGACAATGCCTTACCCGAGACCTTGCCCGCACCCCCCACCCGACGATTTCTCGTCCAGACGTGACTCCGACGCTCCAACAGGTCTCCACCTCGCCCTAACCCCCCACGCCCTTTGGGGCTTTGTTCATGGGACCCCCCATTCAACGATTTCTCGTCCAAACGTAAACCCAATCCCCCCCCAGGTCTCCACCTCGCCCGGCACACTCGCGCCCTTTGGGACCTTGTTCGTGGGACCCCCCGCTCGAAGATTTCTCGACCAGACGCGACCCCGACACCCCACCAGGTCTCCCCCCCGCCCGACACCCCCACGCCCTTTGGGACCTTGTTTTTGGGACCCCACGCCCGACGTTTTCCCGCCCAGACGTGATCCCGACCCCCCAGCAGGTCTCCTCCTCGCCCGACTCCCCCACGCCCTGTGGAGCTTTGTTCTTGGGACCCCCAGCCCGACGATTTCACGTGCTAACATCGTTCCAGGACCCCCCGACACCACGCCTCCACTACACTTGACACCGCCAGCCTCCTGAGTCCCCCTGGACATACGCTTTGAAAGCCTCCCACCATGCAAAAATTGTCCTGGGACCCCCCCTCCCCACCACGCCTCCACCACGCACGCCTGACACCGCCAGCCTTCTGAGTTCCCCTGGGCATAAGTTGTTCCCTCCCTAGGCTCTGCCTAGAAGGGTTCTTACTCTCTGGGCTTAAAGGGGCCGGGCGGTGGAAAGCACCCCGGGCGGTTCCCCCAGTATCCGCCCCGCGGTTCCCCCAGTTGCGCCCCCTGGGTTCACCCAGCTTAGCTTAGCTAAGCTTAGCTTAGCTTAGCTTAGATTATCTCATCTTAGCTTAGCTTAGCTTAGCTTTGTTTTGCCTAGCCTAGCCCAGCCTAGCCTAGCCTAGCTTAGCTTAGCGTAGCTTAGCTTAACGTAGCTTAATATAAATCATACTAACCCAGCTTAGCTTAGCTTAGCTTAGCTTAGCTTAGCTTAGCTTAGCTTAGCGTAGTTTAGCTTAGCTTAGCGTAGCTTAACGTATCTCAGCTTAGCTTAGCTTAACTTAGCTTACCTTAACTTAGCTTAGCGCAGTGCAGCATAGCGCCGCGCAGCCTTAGCACAACATAGCATAGCATAGCATAGCATAGCATAGCATAGCATAGCATAGCTCAGCATAGCATAGCATAGCATAGCATAGCATAGCATAGTGCAGCATAGCATAGCATAGCATAGCATAGCATAGCATAGCATAGCATAGCATAGCATAGCATAGCAGTGCTCAGCATAGCACAGCGCAGCATCGCATAGCATAGCACAGCATAGCATAGCACATCCTATCATAGCATAACATGGCATAGTATAGCGCAGCATTGCACAGCATAGCATAGCATGGCATAGCATCGCGCAACATAGCATATCATTGCATAGCCTAGCATAGCATGGCATAGCGCAGCATAGCATGGCATAGCTTAGCATAGCGCAGCATAGCATAGCATAGCATAGCATAGCCTATGCATAACACAGCGCAGCCGAGCGTACCCTGGCATAGCATAACATAGCATAGCGCAGCATAGCGCAGCATAGCAAAGCATAGCATAGCATTGCATAGCATAGCGCAGCATAGCATAGCATAGCATAGCATAGCATAGCAGCAAAGCAAAGCAAAGGCAAAGCAACAGCAGCAACAGCAAAGCAAAGCACAAGCAATGCAAAGCCGGACCTGCAGTGCTGAACAGCCTGCAGCTCTTGCAGGAGCCGCGAGCAGCAGGTGTAGATGCAGGTGTAGATGTAAATGTAGCTGTCGGTGTAGATGTAGATGTTGCTTTCCTAAATGCTCCACCTCCTAGGTAGGGTCGTACTGGGATAATTTAAGACCAACCAACGAGCACAAATCGATCCAAGACCCACCCACCACACATAGGTTCTTAGGGGCCACGCACCCTGCACAAAATGTCCCGGGACCCGCCACCACACCTGACACCGCCGCCCTTCTCACCCTGTAAAAATCGTCCCGGTGCCGCCCACCACGCTTGACGTCGCCAGCCTGCTGGAGGCCGTGGGCATGGAATTCTGGGGTCCACCCACCGTGCGAAAATCGTCGTGGGACTCCCCACCGCGCTTGACACTGCCAGCCTCCAGGAACCTGTGGGACTCTGGGCATGGGATCGTCGCGGGACCCTGCACCGCACCACGCCTGACACCGCCAGCCTCCTGGAGCCTCTGGGTATGGCCTGCAGACATCGTCCCGTAACCCTCCACCACGCTTGACACCACCAGCCTCTTGGAGCCTCCGGGCATGGGCTTTTAGGAGACATCCACCTTGACTGTACATAAATCGTACCATCGTACTGGGACTCCCCACCACGCCTGACACCGCCAGCATCCTGGAGCCTGAGGCCCCCCGACGGCCACGCAGGCCCTCATGGGCGCCCGTCGCTTCAGGCTCGAGGGCGAAGCGCCGCTGACGACGACGACGACGACGACGACGACGACGACGACGACGGCGACGATGGCGACGACGACGACGACGACGACGACGACGACGACGACGACGACGACGACGACGACGACGGCGACGGCAGCGACGGCGACGACGACGGCGGCGGCGGCGGCGGCAACGACGACAGCGGCGTCGGCGGCGGCAGCGGCGGCGGCGGCAGCGGCGACGACGACGACGACGACGGCGAAGACAACGACGTCGACGACGGCGACGACGACGACGACCTCGAAGCCAAGCCGCGGCGGCCCCGCCTCGGACTCTTTTTCCCGCAGGGCGGCGAACTCCGCCAGGTCGCGTTCCTTCAGAAATGTGACGTGGAGGGCGCTGGAAACCAGACAGGCGGAACCTGGCTGGCCTCAACAAGCACCCCGAGCAGTCTGGTGCGGTTTCGACACCTCAACTCTGGGACGCGGATCGCCCCAAGGGTGCCGCCGGAAGCGGCGCCAGGATGTTGAAACCGCCTGGAATACTCGACAGGCCGATTGAGGCCAGCCAGGACTACTTGGGGGGGTTGTCTGTGCGCGACGCGAAGCCGTAACAGAGCAAAGAGAAGGAGGGAGATCCTCTTCAGCCGATGCTGGACCGGATAGGAACGGAACCGAGAGCGACATCGATTCACATCGATCGGCTCGACATGACCCGTGCCAGACCTGGAAAGCCCCTCAGTCGGTCTGGCGTGGGTTTCCGCCCCCTAAGGGGGAGGAGGAGGAGGAGGAGGAGAAGGAGGAGAAGGATGAGGAGGAGGAGGAAGAGGAGGAAAAGGAAAAAGAGGAGGAGGACGAAGAAGATGAGAAAAAGGAGGAGGAGTCATGAATAAGGGCAAAGAGGAGGAACCACTAGAGACATGGATGCGGGGAAAATTTGAAAGACGAGGCGTTCTGCACAGCAACATGAATGCGTCTAAGAGGCCAGGGCCGCGCCGAAGGACCGCGCTTACAAGGATGCGCGGCTCAAGACATATCGAAGCGCGAACAAGCAGCCACATGCGACCTAGATTCCTACCTTTTCGGGGCCCGCTCGAACCAATCGGAGGGCCGACGCACGCATCGCGCCGCTTGGCGCTTTGCACCGATTGGGATGTGTTATATGTCTGGCATGTTGGCCGTCCTCAAAGAGGCTGGTAGCACCTCGAGGTAGCAATGTTTACTTTGTTGAGGCTTCCAGCAGAAGCGACAGGCAGCAAACTTGAGGACGCGCAGCTCAATAACTTGCTGCGAAGTGCGTTGTACACACAACTATACAGCAGTAAGAGATAAAGACTTCTGCTGGCTCCGAACAATCACCCAACCCACTACCCTGACTCAAGCGCTAGATGATGAGCTGGCTCCTGATCATCATGCGGACGCGGGTGGCAAAGCAGCCTCGCCTGCTGCGCAGAGGTCGTCGCCGCTGAGAAGTTGAGCCCGCTGATCACTGGGGCGACGAAGCCCTCCAGGTCTCATTGGTGCCAGAGGGTACCGAACGGGACGCGGGCGCGGCCGTGTGCGAGGACCCGCGAACCTGCACTTGCCAGACTCGCGGGCGCGCGTGGGGCGGTCGCGTTCCTTCTCCTCCTGGCAGCAGGGGCACTGCCAGTGGATCGAGACGCTGCGACGGTAGCGGCGCGCCGATGGATCCCTGGAGCGCAAGACCGAGTCTGCCCGCGCGTTGCGCCTGCACGCCTCGCAGGTGCAGCGCGCGCGCGCTCGGCCGCCACTGCGCGTCTAATCTCGCCCTCCGCGACCGCGGCGGCCTCCGTTGGGAAGGATGCCGATCGGGCGCCGCACTCGCGGAAAAAGCTCAGGATGCGCGGGCGCCTCAGACGGCGACGCACGTCCACCGTGCACTGGACGAGTCGCTCGGCCATCTTCCACTGCCAAATCTGAGCGCCGAAACTATTGCGACCGGTCTGGTCGAAGATCTCCGGAGCATTGGAGACCGGTCTGGCGGTCTCCTTCAAGATACCCCCGCGACAACCTCGAAGCCCATGCTGGCATTTGTCAAGGGTCAAGGACGACCTGGCCCACGCCCGGCGCGACCAGCACCTCTGGCCACGGCTGCTCGTCGCACAGCCAAGATGGCTCGGGCTGCTCGCCGACGAAATGAACGCCTAGCTCGAGCTGCAGCCGTGCGAGGTAACCGCGTTATCGGCCACAGGGAGCGCCTCCTTGATGGCACGCAGCCAGGCGCGGCAATTCCGCGTGCACTCGAAGGTTGCCCAGCGACCGAAGGGCCGGCAGGCTGGAGCCATGAAAATAACAAATGGCAGACGTGTCGACCATATCGCTCCACGGCTCGCCGCTGGCCCTCGTCGTCCAGGTCGCAGCTAGTGACCGCGTCGGAATTCCGGCAACTCCCAGGCGGCGGCGGATAGCCAGTCTGCTTATCCGCGCGCGTCCACCGCACTCCTCCACAATGTCGATGTCGTAGTCGAGAAGTTAGGCGAGGGCTGGTGGATGGCGTCGAACTCGGCGGGCTGCGGCCCCTGAGCACAGGCCGCTCGGCGGTCAACTTCCGGTTCGGGGGCCGACGAGCCTCGGCACCACCGCGTGGGCAAACCTGCCGCAAGGTCGCCATGGAGACCGCCCTCGTCGAACTCGTCGTCGCAACCAAAATCGGCATAGGCTGGAAGGCCAAGAAGATAAGAGGCCAGACCGGCGAGGTCAGAGCCGCAGTCGCGGCCCTTGCCGACCTGCTTGCGCGTCTTGGGCGCATGGGCATGATCTAGCGTCGCCCTCTGGAGCATGCGCTCTGCCGTCGGGTAGGCGCTGGGCCCCGACAACCCACCATTGACCGATTCTGGGCAAAGGAGGTTACAAAACACCGCGCGCACCTCCTAGCCACCCCAGGATCGACCCTGCGCCAGTCGTGCCAGCTCGGATCTCTGATCGCCAGGGTCAGAGCGCACCGAAGAACGCGACGGAACTGAGACTTGGGGTAGCAGGAGAGCACACCACCAAACATCTTAACAAGCTGGGCGATCTGTCTTACATACACGTCACAGGCCTCGAAAGTCTCCTGAAGGGCCCCAAGCTGCAGCGCGAGAGCACGTTTACTTACCATATCAGCATCAGCACTTGAGCATTGCGACGCTCCACAATCGGCACAGCTAAAATCACCTCCACCGACCTGCGGGCAGGGGTATAGGACGCTGGCCCGAAAAGGCCCACGCAGCCCCGTTCATGCGCAAACCTACGGAGGCCTGCGAACATCTGCTTAGGGTCGGATCGCGGCCTAAGGTACATAGTACAGCCGAGAAGGCCAGGAGAGCACCTAAGGGGTTCCCGTGCTGAGGTTGAATCTTGTACACTGTCCTGGGACTCGTGTCCTTATTCCTTTTTAGAATATACTCATGTTCCCCTTTCTCCCCGGCCGACAGCCGCCACATCCGGGACGCCCCATCTGAACCTGCTAAAAACAAAACAACATTAACATGTTTCGACATGCTCCCTCTCAACATGGACGTCCTGTCGCCCAGGCCAACCATCGTTTTGCAAACAATACCGCAAAGTGCACACGCGCGCGCGTTCATGTCAAACTCCTACCAAACACACGGTGTTTGCAAGCATTGCAACATAATAGAAACCATATACCTATACATATAGATATGCATATATATATATATAAACATATACATGTGCATACATATATATATATACATACATATATATATAAATATATATATAGATAGATAGATATATAGATAGATAGATAGATAGATAGATAGATAGATAGATAGATAGATAGATAGATGTGTGTGTGTGCGTGTACATGTGTGGTCGCCCCCCAAAAAAATGATTTTATGTAGCACCGCCATCGTCGATCGATCTCTCCTCCCCCCTCCCCCTCCTCCTCTTCCTCCTCCTCCGGAAGGACACCCTGTGTACGTTTGGTGTTGGTTGTTTGTTTTGTTTTGCAGGCCCGAATGCTCGCGCTGGCCTCCCTTTTTTCAACACCCTTCCATGCGCCTCAGACCAAGAAACCAAACATACACCATGTTTCGCGCCTTCGATGCAAGGAAACCCTGCGTATATTTTGTCGATTTGGTTTTTTGGGTATGAAAAGCAAAGAAACTATGCGTATGTTCGGTTGTTTATGTATCTTTTGTTTTGCAATCCCGAGCGTTCGCGCCGGCTTCCCTCGCAGCACCCTTCCATGCGCCTCAGACGAAAAAATGTTTGGCGCCTCCGATGCAAGGAAACCATGTGTAGTTTCGGCCTGCTGTTTAAATTATCCTTGGTCCGAGAAGCAGGGAAACCCTGCGTAGTGTGTTGCTCTGTTCTTTTTTTTCTGGGTTTTGCAGGCCCCACAGGTGCTGGAAAAGAGGCCAGTGCGAACGTCGGGGCTTGCATATATATATATATATATATATATATATATATATATATACATATACATATACATATACATATACATATACATACAAATACATACAAATACATACAAATAGATATACATCTTCATCTACATATACATATATATGTACATACATTTACACATATACATATATATATATATACATATATATATATACAAATACGCAACAAAAAATGCTCCTCTGACAAAAAAACTTGCACCGAGGGCGCCACACCCTGTGTATTATTACTTGTGTTGGGAGGGGCACGACTGGTGGGCGACGAAGACGACGACGACGACGACGACGACGACGACGACGCAGCAACAATTGTTCGCCATGAAACAGCATGGCACGCGCATGGATCTGGGCAATAATAGATCTGCGGGGTGCGACGCAGCGGGCTAGCGGCTCATCTGGGGCACAGGGGTCCTTCTCTTCCTCTTTTTGTTCCGTTCCTTTTCGTTATCCTTTCCCTTCTCCTTCTCCAAACACAATTCCTCCTCCTGGCCCATCATCATTTTCCTCCTTTTCCTTTCCGTGCCCCCCTCTCTGTAGCAACACAAAACCAAGAATACACAGTGTTTGGCGCCCTCGGAGCAAGGAAGCGTTGTGTATGTTTGGTGCGTTTGGTCTTTTTGTCCTGGATGCAAGGAAACATGCGTGTGTTTGGTTAGTTTGTTTTAGCTCACGTGCTCCCCGCGGCCTCCCCCCAGCACCTCCTCCTTCTCCCCCTTCCTTTGTCCCCCTGCGTCTCTTCCTTTCCTTTCCTCCTCCTTGTTGCAAAACAATAAAACCGAAAATACACAGTGATTAGCGTCACTGGTGCAAGGAAACGCTGTGTATGTTTGGTTGTTCTGGTTTTTGTTGGTCTAAGATGCAAGGAAACAACGAGTATTATTGGCTATGCTGGTTTATTGGTTCTGGAGTTCTGGAAGAGAAGGAGGAGGAGGAGGTGCTGGGGAGAGGCAGCGGAGAGCACTTGAGCTTCCAAAGCCCGAAGAACCAAAATAACCAAAAATGCACAATGACTCCTTGCATCCTAGACCCAGCAAACAAAACAACAGCAAAAAACGTTTCCTTGCACCCAAAGCGCCAATTATTGTGTATTTTTGGTTTCGTCGCTTGCAACAAGGAAAAGAGGATACGGAACGGAGGGGGAAAGAGGAAGAGGGAGAAGGAGGGGGCGCTGGGAGGGGGGTGCCGCGGGGAGCACTTGAGCTTCCAAACCCCAAGCAAAAATGTCCCCGTGCACCCTAAACCATATATACGTGTATGGATGTGTATATATATGTAGATATAGATATAGAGATATGCGCCAAGGGCGCCAAACAATGCGCGGTATTGGCTTTCTTGCTTTGCAACAAGGATGAGGAAAGGAAAGGAGGAGAAAGAGGGGGAAAGAGGAAGGGGGAGAAGGAGGAGGTGCTGGGGGCTGGGGGGGAGGCCGCGGGGAGCACTTGAGTTTCCAAAAATAAAGGGTGAATCATTGCATCCTAAACCAAAAAACAAGAAACCACAAAAAAGGACACAGCACCCCCCTGTTCCGAGGGCGCCAAACACTGTGGATTATTGGTTTTGTGTTGCTACAAAGAGAACGAAACGGAAAGGAGAAGGAGGAGAAGGATGATGGGCCGGGAAGAGGGGAATTATGTTTGAAGAAGGAGGAAAGGGAAAGGAGAAAGAGAAGGAACGGAGAAGGAGGAAGAGAAGGAGCGGAGAAGCAGAGAGAGGATGTTGATGAACGTGAATGTCAAGATACAATTTACGATCTGGGGGCAGCCATATGTGTGCTTGGTTGATACACAAAACCTACGGCAGTCATCACAAGCGTTTAGAATGCCTGCGCGCGCAATTGCTGAAATCATGGGACAACCATGCGATCCCCATGAGTGTGTGTGTGAAAAAAGCAAGCAATCTCTTCACGCCGCGCGGTGCACTCGCGATGCTCTGTCATGTACCCAGGGCGCAAATCCTGTGCAAAACAACCGCGCGGGCGACATGCGCATGCGCCGCCGCGAGCGCATGTCAAAATCCTTCCAGAGTCTTCGCCATCATCGGCACCGTCGCTGGCCGTGCCGCCGTTGTCGCCATCATCGCGGGCCACCACCCTCCTCATCATGCCACCACCGTGGTCGACGTCATCATGCCACGCGCCCGCCCGAGGCACCGACCTCCACCGAGGTGCCCGCGCGCTGGCGCGGCCTTTGAAACGTGCCGGGCCAGTTCCACTCGGCCCACCGCAACCGTGGCCACAAGAATTCTGCCATACCAACTGGCCGATATTCGCGCGCGATGCGTTTTGCCAGCCAAGTTTCCTGGGGGTCCTCGGGTTTCCTGGACCTCCTGGGGCTTCCTGGAGGGGCTCCTGGTGTCTCCTGGGCCTCCCTGGGGCCTCCTGGGGAAGGACTCGCTGGGGCCTTCAGAGGACTCCTGCGGCCTCCTGGGGCTCCCTGGGGTGTCCTGAAACATCCTGGGGCGTCCTGGGGCCCTTTTGAAGCTTCCTGGGTCCTCTTGGAGCATCCTCGGCTCGTGCTGAAATGCCCGCGCAACCTTTGGGGCGAGCTGGGGAGCTCCCATCGGTAACCGCTGTCGCGACCGCATCAGCTGTGCCAAACCAGCTCGACGATGTGATCTCGGCCCCCGGTTGTGCAAGCACGGCTTCATCTGTTGCGGGGAGCGGGTGGGAATTAGCATGCCATGCATGTCTCGCTCGAGCTAACTAACTTGACTCTTGCTCTGATTACTACTCTTACACTTACTCTTGTTCTTACTCGTATTCCTCCGCCTCCTCCTCCTCTTCCTCCTCCCCATCATCATCCTCCTCCTTGCCGCAGCTCGCCCCAGCTCTTGTTCCCCCTGTCCCCCCCTACCCTGTTCAGCACAGGCCCGGCAGCCCTCACCCCCACCACAAACCCCATTGTTTCCCGGCGATGCGTCCTCCTGCGACTTGAGCTTGCGCGCCTCCGCAAGCTCCCCGCGCAACCGCGCCTCGGGCTCGGCGCGCACGACGGCGAGCGCGGCGGCGGCGCCCAGAGGCGCGTGGTCTTCGCCGCTGCCACCGCGGTCATCGTTGTCGTCACCAGTCGTGGTCGTCGCCGTCTCGTTCGTGGCCGTCGCCGTGGTCGTCGTCGTCATCCTCCTCCTTCTCTTCCTCCTCGTCCTCATCCCCCTCCTCCTCCTCCTGCTCATCCGCGGCCTCCTCTTGCTTATGTTTGGATTCATGTGTGTATGGAATTGATTGTTTACGTGTTAGTGTTGTCTAGTAGCTCTAGCATTGGTAGTATGTAAATTCGTATTACATTTGTTCGTACTAATGATACGTTTACTTAGTCATAAATGATTGTTCCGTACTGGTGTTGGTGTTTGTAGTATTGCTAGTAGCAGTAGTAGTAGTAGAAGAAGAAGAAGAAGAAGTAGAAGTAGGTAGTAGTAGGTAGTAGTAGGTAGTAGTAGGTAGTAGTAGGTAGTAGTAATAGTAGTAGTAGAAGTAGTAGTAGTAGTAGTAGTCGTAGTAGTAGTAGTAGTAGTAGTAATAGTAGTAGTAGCAGCAGTAGTAGTGGCAGTAGTAGAGTAGCAGCAGTAGTAGTAGTAGTAGCAGTAGTAGTGGCAGTAGTAGTAGTGGAAGTAGTAGTAGTAGTAGTAGTGATAGCAGCAGCAGCAGCAGCAGCAGCAGTAGCAGTAGTAGTAGTAGTAGTAGAAGAAGAAGAAGTAGTAGAAGAAGTAGTAGTAGAAGTAGTAGTAGTAGTAGTAGTCGTAGTAGTAGTAGTAGTAGTAGTAGAAGTAGTAGTAGTAGTAGTAGTAGTAGCAGCAGCAGCAGCAGTAGTAGTAGTAGTAGTAGTAGTAGCAGTAGTAGCAGTAGTAGTAGTAGTAGTAGTAGTAGTAGCAGTAGTAGTAGTAGTAGTAGTAGTAGTAGGTAGCAGTAGTAGTAGAAGTGGTAGTAGTGGTAGCAGTAGCATCAGTACTGTTCGTAGCACGAGTGTTCTTAATATTCGGAGTATTCACATAATGCGTCGTAATGACAGCATGCGTACCGATACAGTTAGTAGTAGTAGTAGTAGTAGTAGTAGTAGTAGGAGGAGGAGGAGGAGGAGGAGGAGGAGCAGTACGACTTATACTACGACTACTACTACAACTACTACTACTACTACTACTACTACTACTACTACTACTGCTACTACTACTACTACTACTACTACTACTACTACTACTACTACTATTACGAATAGCGTTAGTATTCGTAGTATCGTCATCGTTATTATCATTAGTAGTAGCAGTAGTATTCCAACGAAGAATTGCACTAGAATTAATATATTTGTCCGTAACACTGTTAGTACTCGTCTAAGTACTACGATTATTATCATGAATCGAATATGATCCGTCTTATAAATAACAAAGTTCGCCGTTTTCTTATTATTCCTCCTCCTCCAAGCCTCTTCGGCCCGAAGGAGTTCGGGGTTAGGCGCGCACTTCGAAGGGGCGCAGCGCGTCGGGGCCATGGCGCCATGGAACTGGTGGCTCCTCATCAGCTGGTATGTCGGGGGCTCGGCAAGAGGCTCGCAGCTTTCGAGGTCGGCATTCAGGGAGTACTGGGACCAGGAGCAGAGGTGACGATCGACGTCATCGATGGCGGACGGGACTGCGCCAGTGCGCCAGTGCCGTCGGCGGCACCGCCGTGTGGAGGCCCGTCACTCAGGAGGTGCACGACCCCGCCGCGGCGGGTGAAGGTCGCGGCCTCGAGGTCATGCAGGAGGAATGCCGCAAGCTGAAGCGCAGAAGCAGGAGCTCCTCATGGAGCGCAGCCAGCTGTAGGCCAGGAAGCAGGAGATGCTTCTCGAGTCCTGCAGGCTGAGGTCGCAGAAGGAGGAGCTCGCGGAGGCGCGGAAGCTGGCGGACCAGAAAAAGGTGCAGGACATGGTCCACCCGCCTGGCTGGTGGGGAAAGCCGGCCAGGGCAAGCCGAGCTCCGCCCAAGGAGTGGGTGGGCGCCAGGCCGACGGAAATGACCTACTCGGACGGCTCGAGCTCGCCGCTGGTCGCGGAGAAGAGCATGGGCTACGGGGCGGCGCTGGCTGGCACCGCGGTGAATTCGAAGGAGGAGGAGGACCTGCAAAGGCTCGCGGCGGAGTGGCAGCGGATGCACGCTCAGCGGAGGGAGACTAAGGAGTGGGAGTTCATGCTCAGGGCGGAGACGGAGGTGCCCCTGGAGCGCGAGGCGATCGCAAAGGCCAAGAAGGAGCTGGGGTCGCTCGAGAGCCTGAAGGACTGGACGTGCGCGGAGGCCCCGCCGTCGGAGATGCAGAGGCTGAAGCTGTGGGATCGGCTCAGCCTGAAGGCCAAGATGCGGCAGGGGACAACGGAGCAGGTGGGCGTCTTCGAGGCCACGGACCGCGAGCTCTCCGAGTGCAAGAAGGAGGAGGCGGAGGCCACGCCTCCGCTGTCGCGGGGGGCGGCGCGGGTGCTGGGCATCACGACGAAGTCGGGGAGCCTGGTGGCACCTGCACCCAAGGCGGTGGCCACCAGCCTGAAGGAGGCCGTCACGCTCAGCCAGCGGGCAGGCGCGGCGGAGCAGGCAGCCAAGACCAAGACCACGAAGCAGAGGCAGAGCCCAAGCGTTCCGCGACCGCCAAGAACGAGAAGAAGGAGAAGAAGGAGAAGAAGAAGAGCAAGAAGGGCAAGGACGAGAGTGACCCGCACACTGCTGGAGACGTGGCGGTGGACTTCCTCTCGGAGGAGCAAGGAGTAAGCCGGGAAGGTCCACGCCGCCAAAGTGGTTCTGGTTCAGGAGCTGCTGGAGGAGGTGGTCCTCAGACAGGAGCAGGCGGCGTACCTGAAGGCAGCGCTGCTCGGGGGGGGGGCGGCGGGCCGCGGCTCCGCGGAGCGAGCGCCGCTCCTGGGCTCCGCCTCCGCCTGCCTGGCTGGGTTATCCGCGTCGGCTGTGGCCGCGGGGTATCCGAGCCAGTGAGGCGGCGGCGGTGCCTGGGAGCAGGCCGCGGTGGCGGCCAGTTTTGCTTTGCAGCGTGCGAATTCACTTGGCAGCATTGAGCCCCTGAGGGGGGGGTCAAGGCCTAAAGCGGGTCCCGGTTCCGACCCTGACCCCCCCGGGGCCTCAACAGGTTTTGCTGGTGAGGAAGCTGGCTTTGCATGTTTCGTTGCGGGTAACAGCCTCAGCGTCGCATGCGATTCGGGAGAAGCTGCAACGGTGGCTGCCTCAGTTCTCTCGCTGCCCTGCGGGTGCTGCAAGGCTGGGGCCGTAAGTCGGGATCGCCGTGCGGGTCGTGGAGCGGCCATCGCGCGTGCCCCCGTCGACGGCGTCGCCGATGTGTGGCGCTGCCTCGCCTCTGCACGAAGGCGTTTGCTCTACTTTCCTCCACCATCTATACCACCTCCTCTTCCTCCTCCTCCTCCACCACCACCTCTTCCTCCTCGTTTACTCGTCTCGTGCCCTCATAGGGAGCCCCACCCCCAGCCCCACTGGCACAGTCCACATGCGTGACACCGCCCCGTTTTCGTACACCCTTCGGACGCTTCGTGGCCCCAGAATGACTTCGACCAAAGGCCCCAGTGGCACATTGCACATGCGCCCTGCCATCCCATTCCGGCACCCCTCACACGTTTCGCGGCCCCATATGAAATCCGCCCGAAATCCTCAATGGCACAATCCAAATGCATTCCCCCGCACCATGTCGGCACACCGCTCACACGCCTGGTGCCCCCATATGGAGTTCCACCGAAAGCCTCAGTTGCACATTCCACATGCGTCCCCCTGCCAACTTCCACCTCCCACCCCCCAACCCCCCACGCATCGTGCACCCATAGGGAGCTCCACCAAAAGGCCGAATGGCATTGGCCACATGCGTCCCCCCGTACCATTTCCGCGAACCCAACACGCTACGTGCCCCAGTAAGGAGCTCCAGCGACGGCCCGAGTGGTGCGTCCCCTCTGCGAAAATTTCGGTACGCCCCTCACACGCTTCGTGCCCCGATAGGGAGTTCCACCGAAGGCCCTGGCGGTACAGTCGACCTCCTGCCCAATGTCGGTACACTGGTCACACGATTCGTGGCCCCTTAGGGAGTTCCACCGAAGGCCCAAGGGGCGGATTCCACATGCGTCCCCCTGCCCAATTTCGGTACACCCCTCACACGGCCCCCCCGCCCCGGGCCCCTCACACGCTTCGTGGCCACATAGAGAGCTGAAGTAGGGACCCGAGAAGCAGGGTGCAGACACGCCCCCCCGAACTATTTCGGCACATCCTTCACGAGCTTATATCCACACCTGTCGCGGATATCTCACCAGCCCTCTGGGCGCAGGTGGTCTAGCGCGTGTCCTTATCCAACCTCGTTCCGACAAAACTGGTCGTTGACGGCCTCGTTAACGTATCTGACATATCCGCGCTCGCAACCGACATTGCACAGTTCCCCGAATCGGTTCGTGTTCAGGTTGTACCACGTCGCTCGGACCTCGGATAACGTCACAACGTCAACGTCGAAACATGGGTCAGTCGTGGCTGTCGTGGCCGTCGTGGCTGTCGCCGCGGCCATCACAAGGAGACGACTGCTTCGCGAAGTTAACCGCGCGCACTGGATACCGTGGGGCCAACCACGGGATCCGCTACCGCTAAATCATGATCGGGCCCCTGATTACATGCGGAAACACACACACACACACACACACTTGAGCCGAAAAGCGTCGGTAACGGCGACTGCCTGACTTACTCTGACAGACGATATGTCGTCACAAGATCTGCGCGGACAAATCGCTTTCTCCTGTAGGCGCAGGGGGGGCGGGCCAAAACATTGGCACCTCCTCCTCCTCCCCCTCCTCATCCTCCTCCATTTTCTCCATCTTCATCCTCATCCTCATCCTCATCCTCATGTCCTCCTGATCATCTCATCCCCCTTCCTAACACCTCCTTCCTGATTATTCCATCCCCCGCCTTCCTCCCGCGTCCTCCCATCCTCCCTCCTCCCTCCTCCCTCCTCCCTCCTCTTCCTCCTCCTCCTCCTCCGAATCCTCATCCTCATCCTATTCCCCCTCCTCCTCCAGTCCCCCTTCCAACCCCACCCCTCCTCCCTCGTCCTGTTTCCTCCTGCCCTATCCCTCCTCCCCCTTCCCTGCTCCTTCCCTGCCAACCCTAGGCCGCGGTGCACCAACTCCGCGAAGTCCGCTTCCGCGCGCGCCCGCAGCTCCGCGACCTGTTGCCGCGCCTTGCGCCCGCGCGGGCCGACCAAGCGAGCGAACCAGGGAAGCGAGCAGGCGTACGGTACTCCTCCTCCTCCTCCTCCTCCTCCTCCTCCTCCTCCTCCTCCTCCTCCTCCTCCTCCTCCTCCTCCTCCTCCTCCTCCTCCTCCTCCTCCTCCTCCTCCTCCTCCTCCTCCTCCTCCTCCTCCTCCTCCACAGACCCCTCCTCCTCCTCCTCCTCCTTCTTCTCTTCCTCATCCTCCGCAGCATCCTGCTCCTCCTCCTCCTCCTCCGTTCCTTCTAAATGAAATGACTTCTCCCTGTCGCACCCCGAAACCAATTGTTAGGGCGGGCCGGGCGTTTCGCCTGAGACCTCCTCACCGTTTATGCTTCTGGAGCTGAATAAGTGTCAACAGCTTCACAGATGGAGGGCGGGTGGTTTTCAAAAAGTGGCTCTCGCCTTAGCGCCGAGCACATCCGTTCCAAACAAGTGGCAAGAGCTTCACGGGTTGAGGGCGGGTGGTTTTCAAAATGTGGCTCTCGCCTTAGCGCCGAGCACATCCGTTCCAAACAAGTGGCAAGAGCTTCACGGGTTGAGGGTTATTCGTTTTGAATATGTGGCTCTCGCCTTAGCGCCGCGCACATTCGTCTTCAAACATCTCGAGAGCTTCACGGAGTGAGGGCGGTTCCGTTTCAAAATGTGGCTCGCTCCATAGCTCAGGGCAAATTCGTTTTCAGCATGTGCAAGAGTTCCGCGGGTTCCCACGATCAACGTAACAGAAAAGGTGTTTTGAAGGATTCGGGGTTGTGCGGGCGCAACAGTTATGTGAGTTCGCGGTGTCGACATCCAAAACATGGCGTTATGGCACGGTTCTGGATCGCCACGACGAAGCAGTCAGGTTGATCCGTGGCGTTGAATGCCCGAGAACCATGTTTTGGCATGCTTCAGGATCTTCGAACGGTCGTCTTCCAACGAGGCAGCTCCCTCAATGGAACATGAATCGTCGAAGGGGCCTATTAAGAGGGAGCTTGGAGGAAGGGTCAATTCCAACATCGTTGATGACTCTTGGGCTTACACTGGTCCTCCTCCGACAACTCCTCCTCCTGTTCCTCCTCCTCCTCCTCCTCCTCCTCCGCCTCTTCCTCCTCCTCCTCCTCCTCCTCCTGATCCTCCTCCTTCTCCCACCTCCGCCGTCCTCCCCCTCCCCCTTGCCTCCTCCTCATCATCTCTCATCCTCTTACCCCTCCCCATCCCCTCCTCCTCCTCCTCCTCCCCCTCCTCCTCCTCCTCCTCCTCCTCCTCCTCTCCTCCTCCTCCTCCCCGCTCCCCATACTCCTTCCTCCTCATCCTTATCCTCATCCTCCTCCT